CATCAATAAGAGAACTACATTTTACTGTATTAGTATTCAAGTTTTTGCTTTGCATTTCTTCAAAGAGATTCATGGCTTCTCTAATGTAACCCATTAATCACCATCATATGAAATTTAATGTTATTATTACATTTCAATTCATTAACTGTTACGATTGTAATATAATTTATTTATTTTAATATATATCCCAAACTACGATTTATCTCCAAAGACAAAAAGATATGATATTAAAAAAATTATAATTTAAAAATAAATTGAATTTTTAAAAAGTACAATATTAAAGTTAAACCAGTGAATTGAAAAAGTAAAAAAATATTAAAATCAATAAAATAAATAATGTTCATAATATATTAAAAATAAAACAGTATAAAAGAAAATCATGAATCTTTGATGGAGTGATGAAAAAGAAGCTTCCAGTTTGGTGACAAAAGAAATCTTTAAGGAACAATTCTTTTTAGAAATAATAATATATGCTAATCATTTTAATGTTACCATTAGTATATTAATTATTTTGTTATTAGAGTGAGAAGAACTACTTTTTTAAAAAAATTTTCATACTCTATTGTTTAGGACATTGTTTGTGAGACTTTAATGTGTTTGACTTCAAACGCACAAGTTTGAATACATCGTTGTGTAAAACTTGGGGAACAAATCAGTTATTAAATTGTATTGAAGGTCCATCGAAAATTTGCTTTAAAAAAACTCACTAGTATCATAACACAATATTTTCTTTCATGCTTTTTCTACTAATATTTTCTAACAATCTAAAGCAAATTGCTTCTCTTTTTGCTGTTCTAATGGATTTATTGTTCTGTATAATTATGTGTTTGATAAGTGTTATGATTTCATTAAGTTTATAACCCAATTTAGAGCACTTATATCAATTTTCAATAGCTTGAAATCTTGAAATTTTGTCTTTGAATCATGTTTTTAGGTAACTTACAAACATTTGGTTGCCATTTTGTAGCTTAGAAGAACTTTTGTAAAGAACACAAAACCTAAAAATATTGTTAAGGTTATCTCGCATGGTTGACAGCACAAAACTTAATATTTCGCACACTAGAATAAAGACTGAACTTATAACTCGCATAACTCAATCAATTCTTAACATTTTTACACTATTCTAGAATATAAATTATAGCCCCAAGTGTCTACTTTGTAACCTAATAAACGAAAATTGATTTGGTCATCACATGGAAAGATTACAAAAATAATAAGATATATCCATAAGTAAAATCTCCCAATTACTCATTAATTCATATTGTACTAGTAAGGCCATTCGGCCACCTGGTTCGGCCATTCGGCCACCTGATAGCCGATACCCAATCGGCACCTGAATGACCGAACCAGGTGGCCGATTGCCGTTCGGCTACCAGATGATCTATGAACTCAGATTCCTACTAATAAAGAGGCAAGAATCTACCCATAATTAAGGATTAAGAGTTAATCATACCCATAAGCCGATTAGAGGCGTATTACCTAATCTGGTAATCTTGTTGCAGGGCCGATAGAAATCCGGGCCCATAAATGTCAGTATAAATAGCTCTTGTCACGAGGTAACGTCACTATTCATTAATTGCTCTAGATATTCGTGCTTGTCTTGACTTGAGCGTTGGAGTGCCTTTTGCAGGTACCAACCCCTCCACCCGCATTGGATCGGAGCACTCGTTCGGCCCTCAGATTACCAGAAGGTTATAGGTGTATCCTTTTGACAGGTACATTTTGGCGCCCACCGTGGGGCCGAACAAAGATAATTCGAAGATTAACTGTAGTGAGACATGCCGATAACTAGGAGAACCAACACACATGATCACCAACATGAAGAGGAGGAACACATTGAAGTTGTTGACGAAACAGATCTTTCAGAAACCATTCGGTTGTTAAAACAGGAGATGGAGATCATGAAACAGCAGCGAGACAAGGATGCGAGGGAGCTTTTGGCCTTGAGAGCCGAGAATGAGGCATTAAGAAATCAAGATCCCTCATGGAAGCCGACTCAGGCCACCAATACTCAAACTCAAGGGTCATTCCAATCCTATGCGATCCACAACTCGGCCCCTCATGCTTCGGCCGCGGCACCCGAAAAGTTTCCCTCGGCCCTACCCACTATTGGTCGTCCTACAGATTTGACAATCGGATCACACCGACACCCTTTCACCCCTTCTATTATGCAACTTCCCCTGATGGATAACTGGAAATCTCTGCCTATTGATAAATATGATGGTACAACCGACCCTGATGAACATCTTGATGTTTTTCTCACACAGGTGACCTTGAGTACCACGGATGATGCAGCGCTGTGCCGGATCTTTCCGACGTCTCTGAAAGGCAGGGCTTTGAGTTGGTTCACTCGGTTACCTCCCAACTCAATCGACTCGTTCAACACTTTGTCATCGCAGTTTACCATCTAGTTCGCAACAAGTCGTCCCCACAGCTTGACCTCTCTCTCATTGGTTAGTCTTTGGCAAGATAAGAAGGAGACTCTTCGGGCTTTCATGGATCGTTTTAACAAAACCTGTTTGGAAATTCGAGATCTTAATCCCGCGGTTGCACTCCACCATCTTACCACAGCTTTGAAGCCCGGGCCATTCGTTAATAGCCTGTGCAAAAAAACCCCTTCAGATATGGATGAACTTAGAAGGCGAGCCGATAAGTATATGCAGATGGAAGAGTTGGCTGAGTTCTGAAACCAAGCCCGAGCTGAACCCACAGGAAAACCCGATAAGCCTACAGAGCCACCCTATCGAGGGCGAAACAAGGAGATAAACCTTCGCGATCGGCCAGCGCGGGGTCCGAAATACACTCACTATACTCCCCTCAATGCAAGCCGAGCTGCGGTGCTCGATCAAGCTCTAGCATCAGAGGTACTAGCTGTCCCAAAAAGAGCTTCCACACTATCGCGCGCCGATACTAGCAAGTCTTGTCGGTACCACCGCAATAGGGGGCATTCCACCGAAGAGTGCGCGGCTCTCCGAGACAAAATTGAGGACTTAATCAAGCAAGGCCAGCTTCAAAATTTCATCGATCGGCCAGATCCGCATCGATCGCGCCAATATCAACCTAGACAGGACCGACCCCGGCATGACCGTACAGACAGGCCTCGCCGCGAGCGAAGCCGGTCGCGCGAAAGGAAAGATGAGCCTACAGCTTCCCATAGGCGAGTTATCAATACCATTGCAGGGGGGTTTGCTGGTGGAGGCTCAACTTCGTCGGCGCAGAAGAGGCATTTACGCGCCGTTCGTTCGGTCAACACGGTCGATAGACGACCCATTCGAAGGTTACTAGCTATAACATTCACTGATGCTGATTTCCAAGGGATTGACCCTGTGCAAGATGATCCAATGGTAATCAGCATCGAAATTCACAACTGCATAGTGAAGAAAACGTTGGTGGATCAGGGTAGCTCGGCCGACATCTTGTACTGGAACACCTTCAAACAGTTGGGCATTTCAGAGAAGGAACTCATTCCATATGATGATCCCTTGGTCGGGTTCTCGGGCGAAAGAGTCAGTACAAAGGGATATATTAAACTCTTCACACATTTTTGTTATGATGAGCAAGAGTATAAGGAAATCCAAGTAAAGTATATTGTAGTGGACGCCAACACATCCTACAATATTCTTTTGGGTCGGCCATCATTGAATATGTTGGGAGCTATCGTGTCTATGCCACACTTGGCAATGAAGTTTCCGTCCGATAAAGGAACGATCCTCACAATTCACGCCGATCAAAAGGCAGCCCGAGAGTGTTACTTCGCTAGCTTGCGAATAACCCCTATTGAAGAAAAGCAACCAAAGCAAAAGAGAGTTCATGCTGTGAACCCTTCAGTAGGTGATACGGCCCAAACTTGGGATCTGGATCCAAGAATCAATGATGAAGAACGAATAGAGTCAATTGAAGACAAAATCGGTCTCCAAATTGGCCGAGAAACTTCCCAAGTCACCTACTTGGGGGCTGGACTCACCGAGGCAGATCGCCAAGCATTAGGCATGGTCATTCAGAAAAACAAGGATCTTTTTGCTTGGGTGCTCGCTGATATGCCAGGCATAGATCCAAAGGTCATGTGTCACAAGTTGTCTGTTTGCAGGGAGGCCAAACCAATAGCTCAGCGGAATAGGAAGATGGGCACTGAGAGAAAACTGGCTGTTGAAAAGGAAGTTGCCAAGTTACTTGAAGCAAAATTCATTCGGGAGATACAATATACAACGTGGCTTGCAAACGTGGTCATGGTCAAAAAGCCTAACGGGAAACGGCGAATGTGCACGGATTACACTAACTTGAATAAAGCCTGCCCAAAGGATGCCTACCCATTGCCCAATATTGATCGGCTAGTTGATGGTGCCTCGGGGCACAACATGCTAACATTTCTTGATGCCTACTCAGGATACAACCAGATTCAAATGCACTCGCAAGACGAGGAGAAGACCGCTTTCATCACTGATTCGGCTAACTATTGTTATCGGGTCATGCCTTTCGGCCTCAAGAATGCCGGGGCCACATATCAACGGCTCATGAACAAGATATTCCAAAGTCAAATCGGCAAGAATATGGAGGTCTATGTGGATGATATGGTTGTTAAATTGAATAACCTTCATAATCATATTGCAGACTTGGGGGAGGTTTTTCAACAAGTTCGGCGTTATGATATGAGACTCAATCCAGACAAGTGTGTGTTTGGAATAGCCGGCGGCAAGTTCCTTGGTTTCATGCTTTCGGCCAGAGGTATAGAGGCCAATCCTGACAAATGTCGAGCGGTGGTTGACATGAGAAGTCCCTAAAATGTCAAAGAAGTGCAACGACTAGCTGGTCGGCTCACAGCGTTGTCAAGGTTTCTTCCTTGCCTCGCGGAAGTGGCCAAACCGATCCTTGGACTTCTGAGAAAAACAAATAGATTCCCATGGAATGAAGAGTGCGAAGTGGCTTTTAAAACATTAAAGCTGCGCCTCGGGACGCCCCCAGTCCTCTCTAAACCCGACCCGTCATCAGACCTCATCGTATACATGTGCGTGTCACATGAAGCCATCAGTTCAGTCTTGATCCAGGAGAAGGAAGCTCAAGTGCCTATTTATTTCGTCAGCCGCCTGTTGCAAGAATCGGAAAGTAGATATCAATTGCTAGAAAAGGTGGCACTCGGACTTGTTCACACTGCTCGAAGACTTCAGCAATACTTTCAAGGACACAAAATCGTGGTACGAACTGATTGTCCCATTGCTAAGGTCTTACGGAAGCCCGAATTGGTAGGGCGAATGATGGCATGGTCCGTTGAACTATCGGAATTCGATATTTCATTCGAACCAAGGGGGCCGATTAAGTCACAATATTGGGCCGAGTTCATCAATGAGTTACAGCCTAATGGTCAGTTTCAGAGTGATCAGTGGACGTTACGTGTCGACGGTTCTTCCAACAACACAGGCAGTGGGGCAGGTATAATTCTAAAAGGACCAATGGGGATAACCCTCGAACAATCCATGCACTTCAGATTTCGGGCCTCCAACAATCAAGCCGAATACGAAGCGCTGTTAGCAGGATTGAGGTTGGCAGGCGACATCGGGGCCCGGAGATTGCTTTGTTGGACGGATTCACAGATCGTATCGGAACAGGTTAATAATAATTTTCAAGTAAAAGATCCAAATTTGCTCTGTTACTATCACCTCTTCCATAACATGTGTTCTAATTTCGACGAAGTACAAGTCTGGCACACGCCGAGGGAAAATAATGAACGAGCCGATCAACTGGCCAGATTGGCAAGTAGCACTCGGAAATCGGGACAACTCAGAACTACTCTGCACCTGGAATTACCTACTCCAAGCATCGCTGCAACCGAAAGCATGGCAGTAGAAGCAGCAGCATCCAATACAAACTGGATGACAGAAATTCTTGATTTCATTCTCCATGGCAAGGAGCCGGACGAACCCTTAGCCGCTAAGAACCTACGAACTCAAGCTGCTAGATATTCGGTCATAGGGGGAGAGTTATACAGGAGGGTTTTCTCAACCCCGTTACTCAAATGCGTAGACTCGGCACAATCTGATTATGTGTTACGGGAGATTCATCAAGGCATTTGTGGATCACATTCAGGCGGACGAACCCTCGCAGCAAAAGTGTTAAGGGCAGGTTATTACTGGCCAACCCTTAAGAGTGATTGTGCGCAGTTCGTCAAACGATGTATTCAATGTCAAAAACATGGAAACTTGATTCATGCCTCGGCAGAACAACTTCATACTATTAGTTCACCTTGGCCATTTGCTCTGTGAGGGATGGACTTTCTCGGCCCATTCCCCAAAGCCAAGGGTCAATGCAAATTCTTGTTGGTAGGAGTCGATTACTTCACAAAGTGGATAGAGGCCGAGCCACTTGCCACCATTACGGCGAATAATGTTCAGAAGTTTCTTTGGAAGAACATTATTACGCGTTTCGGAATACCATACGCCATCATCACTGATAATGGACTTCAATTTACAGATCAAAAACTCAACAAGTTTATGACCGACTTGGGTATTCGACATCGATTCACCTCAGTCGAACACCCACAATCAAATGGGCAGGCCGAAGCAGCGAATAAGGTTATTCTTAGTGAGTTGAAGAAACGCCTGGGGGATGCAAAAGGAGCTTGGGCTGAAGAGCTGCTTGAGGTCCTATGGGCCTATCGGTGCACCCCTCAGTCAACAACAAAAGAAACTCCGTTTCGGCTAACGTATGGTACGAATGCTATGATTCCCGTTGAAGTTGGAGAGCCATCGTTTCGGAGGCAATACTTCAATGAAGACAGCAATGAGGCGTCCCTCCGGGCCGAAATAGACATGGTCGATGAAGTTCGTACCCAAGCTCAGATCATGGTGGAAGCTTGCAAATAGCGAATGGCTAGACGATTTAACTCAACACTTGTCAAGAGGGAGTTTCATGAGGGAGACCTCGTATGGAGAGTTCAAGGGTCGGCAAGACGCAATCCTCGGGAAGGCAAGCTGGCGGCTAACTGGGACGGTCCGTTTCGTGTTCGCCATAACCTTGACAACGGCGCATATAAGCTCGAGGAACTTTTGGGCAAGGTCGTTCCAAGAACGTGGAACTCGTCTCACTTGAAAATGTATTTTAGCTAGGTTTTTGAGTTCAATATTGTAATCACAATATACTTTCTCGGTGCACTCTTTTCCTTGATCGGTCTTTTCTCCCCTTACAAAAAAGTGAAAAGGGGTTTTGGCCGACAAGGTTTTTAACGAGGCACCCATTAATGAGAAGCAGTTTAACACAATACGTTTTGTCTTCCACTTGATATATTAACAGCAATAAGGCTTCCCTCCCGAATGACCCCATTTGGCCAAGGATGTGCCTTCGGAAATCGCGCAATAAGGCTTCCCTCCCGAATGACCCCATTCGGCCAAGGATGTGCCTCAAGATAGTCCGACGTAACTCGTTCGGTTTTGCATCAAAAGCAATCAATTCCGAAGTCCCCTTCGGCTTTGATTCAAAAAGCCTTCAAGCCCGACGTAACTCGTTCGGTTTTGCATCAAAAGCAGTCAATACCGAAAACCCATTCGGCCTTGATTCAAAAAGCCTTCAAGCCCGACGTAACTCGTTCGGTTTTGCATCAAAAGCAATCAATTACGAAGTCCCCTTCGGCCCTTATTCAAAAAACCTTCAAGTCTAACATAACTCGTTCGGGTTTACGTCAACATCAATCCAGTATGAAGAAACCCTTCGGTTTCTTAATTCGACAAATCATGTACGGATGAAATCGTTCGTATATTGCTCAAGAAATCAGTTCGTTCGGCTTTGACTCAAATAATCAACATTCAAAGTACTTAGACAACTCATTGGTCAACTCTGAAATCTCTTCATTAACAAAAAACATAGGCTCTATCGGCCAAATTTTACAACCAAAGTCAAAAACCTACAATTAAAAACAAGCATGTTGAAAAGGCTCTATCGGCCTGGCTTACAAAAAAGAACAAGTTTCCTACAAGACTACTCTTCGGCATTGTTATCAGCATTCTTTTGCACCTCCGGCTCGTCCTCCTGATCCGGTTGTGCATCCTGCTGGATTTTAGTCTCACCATCCGAAGCGACATGAGTCTCCTCATCTTCGATGTCATCATCGTTCGGCGCATCGCTGTCAGGGATGGCCCCCTCGGGGATATCTTGAAAGGACATGAAAGACCCTTGGTAGAAGTCTTTTGACATGTCAAACTCAAAACCCTCTTTGAAACGGCCGAAGTGTTGTGCTTGCCGAAGGGCATGGCGGAATCCAGCTTCATGTTGGGCCACAATACGATCCTTGGCTTGCTCCTTCACCCTTTCCAGCTCCGCCTTGGCTTCCTCCAATCGGCGCTTCTCTTCATTCGCAGCTTTTTGCATGTTCAGCCGAAGAGTATCATTATTGCGCCGTTGTACATCTAGTTCGGCCGCGAGTTGCCGATTCCTCTCTAGAGCTTCCTCGGCAGTCGCCACAGCCTCGGCCATTGCCCTATCGGCATTCTCAACTCGTTCTCGTAGTTGCATCAACTCACCAATTGGCTCCATGGCGAGATGGTGCGCGAGTGCCAGTGACCGAGATTGCACCTCGCAAAAATACTTCCACTTGGCCGCAGCATCAAACTGGTTTAGAAACTCTCGGCCATGATCCGAGATGACGTTTGGCTGAACCAGCGATTCGGCGGTAACGTCTTCGCTCAAGAAGGCCCTTGACATTAGCATGGGGGGCACGCATATAATTGTCCCGCCAGGAGAAGACACCGACTGTTTAGACTTCTTGGGCTTCTCCGGCCTCTCTTCGGCAGTTTTTCATTTCGGTCCTTCATGAGCAACCTCCTTCCCTTTCTTCACCTTCTTGCGTTTCCGATCTGGAGTAGGCGGGGTTCGGTCTTCGCGCGTCGGGCGTGGCGTTTGGGCAATCGCCGAACTACCCACAGCCCCCGAAGCCTTAGCTTGTTGAATCCGACCGGCCAGGAGGTCGCGGATGTTGAAGTCGTCAGCTCCACTTTTCACCATGATTCCTGCATAAGTAACCAAGTGAACATCAATATGAATTTAGTTTAAGGCTGAAACGGGAATGTTACGTACCTATTAAGTCACTCTCCCATTTGGGAGATTCAACCACGTTTATTAATGACCTCGTCGGCAAATGCCGAGGAAGTCGAAGTAAAAACTGCAAATCCCGTTGCTCTTCGGCTGTGAGAAGCTCATCCAGCACTACGTCATACGGACGAGGGGCGCGTGTCCAGTTCAAGGGGAAAAACTTCGACCATCGGCCCCGAAGAAGAAACGTCTTCCGTTCGGACGGATAGTCACTCGAAAAAATCCCGCTTTAAAATTCTTATAAGATGAAGTAAAACTATCCAAGAGTAGCCGAGTTCCCATCCGGCTAAGAGATAACCACTTGGCCAAGTCTGAAGGACGAGACGAATAAAAAGAGAGAAAAAGTAAAGGCGAAGGCCTAATGTTTACACACACGCATAGATGTTTGAAACCTTGAAGTTGAGCCCAGCTATTCGGGTGTAGTTGGGTCGGCGCCACATTCAAAACTCGAAGCACTCCCATGGTAAATTCGTCAAAAGGCAACTTCACCTTTAAGTCTCGGAGAAGACAGTCATACATGTAGAACGAGGCCATCCTCTCGTCTTGCTTATCCAAACATACCGTGTCCGGATTTGGAAAAGCGTCATTTCGGCATGCACGAACTCCGATCGGATACGGCTCCTCTCGAGCATCAAAGGTCAAACATTTTGTATATTCCAGCAAATTCGTGATCATGCTAGTATCTCGGTACCGGGAATGGTACGAAGTCACTTCTCCATTTACCCATTCGTACCCAGGTACTCCCGATGGTCCATACCTCTGCCGATTCGAGACACGTCTGGCTCTGGTCGGCACCTCTTCACTCCCACTAGTTGAAGCCTCTTCGGCCGTACTTGCATTTTCGCTAGACCTATCCGCGTTCGGCCCAAAAGCCATAGACGACGACCCCTCGGATGACGATGACCGAGCCACACTAGCCGAAGAGCTCTCGGAAGAAGTAGCCATCCAAATAAACTTACCAAAAATCCAAGTTTGAAAGTCACTCGGCTCGCGTTGCTAAAACCTTGAACTTGCTCGGATAACCCTGTTCGGCTGAGAACGATACGTGTGGGAGGCCCTACCACGCATCACTATATATAGCGAAGGAAAAGGGCGGGAAAATTCAAAATTGAGAAAAGGTGTAACTGCTTGATCTTCAAAATCCAACGATGCAGATCCATCCAACTTTTCGACTTCCTCCACAACTGCACTTAATTTTTGTACCCATACAAAAGGTACCCCTTCCGCAAGGCTAGGGGGCAAGTGTACTAGTAAGGCCATTCGGCCACCTGGTTCGGCCATTCGGCCACCTGATAGCCGATACCCAATCGGCACCCGAATGACCGAACCAGGTGGTCAATTGCCGTTCGGCTACCAGATGATCTATGAACTCAGATTCCTACTAATAAAGAGGCAAGAATTTACCCATAATTAAGGATTAAGAGTTAATCATACCCATAAGACGATTAGAGGCGTATTACCTAATCTGGTAATCTTGTTGCAGGGCCCATGGAAATCCGGGCCCATAAATGTCAGTATAAATAGCTCTTGTCACGAGGTAACGTCACTGTTCATTAATTGCTCTAGATATTCGTGCTTGTCCTGACTTGAGCGTTGGAGTGCCTTTTGCAGGTACCAACCCCTTCACTCGCATTGGATTAGAGCACTCGTTCGGCCCTCAGATTACGAGAAGGTTATAGGTGTATCCTTTCGACAGGTACACATATAATTAAGGGTGTTCATTAATCTACAAGGACCCTAACTTGTAAAGCACATCCAATGAATTCAATTATCATCTAGATCATTAATTTTACCAAATAAATATAACAATCACATTTATAAATCAATATAAAATTCAATTGAATCATCAATTTTACAAAATAATTATAATGGTTCATTCTTTTTCTACTAAAATTTTCTTACAGTTTTGTCACAAAATATTTCAATAATTAAAGTGGTCCAACAAAAATCTCTGAAGGACTAGTATGTTAGACATTGTAATTTAAGGATGCATTTTTGCTTATCTACACTAGTCTTACAAAAAGGAGAGGAATTTTATTAGGAAATAGTATTGAGGGAAATCATTAAACAATAAACATTAAGGTGAGTGAAGCTAACATCGGAACTTGAAGAATTATCTTTAATTTTACTAATTGGTACAATAATAAAATATTTATTAAATTTTATTTGAGACTTTGTGAGGATGTTGGTCTGGTTTCATCCTTATCAAATTTCATAGGGATTTCTGTTTCCCATGCAAAAACAACTCAAATGACTTCTCTCTTTCGGAATATGTACGAGTAGGTGCATTCCTATACTTTCTGTTTTGCCTGAAATACCAAAAGTCAACCCAATATTAAGAACCAAATAGTTGAGAGGTAAATCATTAAACAATAAACATTAAGGTGATTGAAGCTAACATTAGAAGTTGAAGAATTATCTTTAATTTTACTAATTGGTACAATAATCAAATATTTATTAAATTTTATTTGAGACTTTGTGAGGATGTTGGTCTGGTCTCCTCCTTATCAATTTTCATAGGGATTTCTGTTTCCCATCCAAAAATAACTCAAATGACTCATCTTTTCGGAATATGTAGGAGTAGGTGCATTCCTATACTTCCTATTTTGCCTGAAATACCAAAGTCAACCCAAGATTAAGAACTTTAACTGAAGCAACTAAATATAACTGCCATAAACATGAGAAAATTAAAATCTAGAATAAAATGATTAACAACACTACATCAAGATAAACTATGTATTCCTAAATATTAAACTACAAACAATTGATTCCCATTCATATCAAAAGACAGACATATTTTAAGCAAGTCTATGCATGAGTTTGGGGTTAATTTTTATATACCACAATGCTATCCAGTTCCCACAACTAGCAGTTGTGTATATGCAATGCATATTAAACTAAAACAAGAGCAACCATTTAATAAGAATTGTACCACCATTTGAAGTTGTCAAAAGTCACTATTTATATAAAATATATTGAATTTAAAGTGCAGGTTATAGCACTGTTACATCAGCAATTTTGTTTTTACCATACAGTATTTTGACAGAGTTGTAGCTTCATGGTTAAAATTCATCATCTTTCACTTTTTAAAAAAAACCGAAGCAACCATATCATTAATTGGGTGGTTATACATGGAACTAAACTAATTAGAGAGACACCTTTGGCAAATTAAAATAAGATCATGCTTGACCAACTGTTTTTGCCTTTACAATATGCAGAAGTTTCTCTAATTAACTTTGATAGTGTAAATTCATTTTATATTGTTATTTTAACGCAAATTAATATATAGAGAGTAAATTTATTGACTTTTATTATAACTGTTATAGAAGCTATACGACAAATGATTTTTGAATGATTAGTGGTATAAAATTTTCACACAGAATGTCTATTAAACTATTGTATTTCACTCATCTTTCTCTAAAATCAGTCCTAAAAGAAAATTTGAAACAAACAAGCAGCTAAGCATTAATTAGGGTCACTAAAAGTTGTACACATAGCATTTGTTTGAATAAATTTCTGTAAAATTACTTCTAAAAGAAAAAAAAATAGGAAATTAAAATTAGCTTATAGATAAATTAATATGTAAAAACTCTATAATATAATTTTTCTAAAAAGTTATACATAAGCTTATGTATAAATTAGTTTTATCTTATAAAAAAATTTATTTCATTTTTTTTTTCATTTTCTTTTTTCAAAAGAATTATAGAAAAATTTATCCAAACATACCAATAATACACAATCCTTTGAAGTTGAAGTATAATCTCGAGAACTTATGTTTACCTTGCCAGATTCTTGGTTAATACTTCCTTGGAATGCTTGTGGAACTATATCAATCTTCAAAAATGGTGGCAATGGCAATCCAAGAAACTTGGTTGTAGAACTTGTTAGTGGTGGAATATACAAAGTTTCAAGATCAAATGAAACAGGAAGGTCATTTTCGGTTGAATTCTCTGTGACCTTCGCACCAACTCCAGTTCCTATTCCCCCTTCAGCATCATACTCAAAGTCAGGATACCTTGAAATTCCAAGCTTGCAACCCTTTTCTGTCTTGAAACTGACAGTGTAAGACTCGGTTGTTGAGGGTTCAATGCTTGTGGAAATGGTATTTTCCTGTTTTTCACTTGAAAAGGAAAAGAAGATAGTGCTTCTTCTTCTTCTAAACTTTGATTTCTTGGTGCACAATTTGCATGGAAATGGTGGGCTTAAGGAGTTTATTTTGCAACTCATCTAGTGTGTGTGATTTAATTACTTGATGAGAGATGGAGGTTGGACTCTAGGAATGTGCTTTGAAGAATAAGTCCTAGCGGAATTATGAATTAAGATCTGAGGTTGGTTTTGGTTTGAGGCTATGAATCTTATCTTTTCATATGGGGTCTTGCCTTTGTGCAATAGGAAATCAACACTTGGCAGTTTAATGGTATTGGGCAGAGAAAACAAACAAATGCTCCGTAGACTTCAATTATTTGTTTTCCAAAATTGAAAAGAGCTTCTGCCATGGATTAAGGGTATGTCTAGATAAAAAAAAATTTCAAAATTACTTTCAGACAAGAAATCAAAATAATTTTATTATATGTTAAAATTAGCTTATAAATAAATTAAAAATAAAATTTAGAAAAATAAATTAGAAAAAACTTATACAAATTAGTTTGTGTGTAAATATAAACTAATTTTAATTTATTAAAAATTTTATTTTATTTTTTTCTATTAAAATATAATTTTAATCTTTATAGTTTCACTTACTTTACCTTTTTAGTTCTTAAAGTTTAAATTAGATATTTTTAATTTATATACTTACCTTTTACAATCATTTTTAATCTTTATAGTTTAAAATAAATTATTTTAATTCTTATATTTGTAGTTCTTTTAATTCTTTTATTACATATTGTTAATTTCTTTTTAATTTTATCTATTTTTTTATTGGTACAATATATAGAGATATTCAATTTTATAGAGTGAAAAAAAAAAGTATTTCATAATGGGTATCCTAGTTAAGGGCACAATCTTCAATTTTAAGGTGAAATATTTCAATAATTAAAGTGGTCCAACAAAAATATCTAAAGGACTACTATGTTAGAAATTGTAATTTAAGGATGCATTTTTGCTTATCTACACTAGTCTTACAAAAAAGAAAGGAATTTTATTAGGAAATAGTTGAGAGGTAAATCATTAAACAATAAACATTAAGGTGATTGAAGCTAACATTAGAAGTTGAAGAATTATCTTTAATTTTACTAATTGGTACAATAATCAAATATTTATTAAATTTTATTTGAGACTTTGTGAGGATGTTGGTCTGGTCTCCTCCTTATCAATTTTCATAGGGATTTCTGTTTCCCATCCAAAAATAACTCAAATGACTCATCTTTTCGGAATATGTAGGAGTAGGTGCATTCCTATACTTCCTATTTTGCCTGAAATACCAAAGTCAACCCAAGATTAAGAACTTTAACTGAAGCAACTTCGCTAATTTCGGTCGCTATTTTGTATTTTTCTTGTAGTGGCATATTAAGCTAAAACAAGAGCAACCATTTAATAAGAATTGTACCACCATTTGAACTTGTCAAAAGTCACTATTTATATAAAATATATTGAATTAAAGTGCAGGTTATAGCACTGCTACATCAGCAATTTTGCTTTTACCATACAGTATTTTGACAGGGTTGTAGCTTCATGGTTAAAATTCATCATCTTTCACTTTTTTCCTTGCAAAAAACCTTTCTTTTTATACACGAATTACAGATTATTTCAAGAGCCTCACATTTCAAAGACTTTCCATCTCTCTTTTAAAATTTACTATTCTCTCCTTTACCACCGATGATATTTCCCTAAATAGCAAATTCTGGAAATAATCATTAGATTAATCAATCGTTGTAAAATTTTGGACAAATAATTGCAATTCCGGATGAAGCCTAATACATGTGTGATCATGTTAGTTTTACTGTTAATTTAATATTCTTTCAACGAATTTCAGTTGATTTTATTAAACTAGTTTGATACTTGTGTGTTATTGTGAGCTTGTTGCCATCAGGATATATTAGGCTTTGCTCTCTCCCTGTAATCTGGTTGGACTCATCAAATTTTGTGCATGCTTATGCTTTCCAAGTCCACACATTATAAAATAACAGGCAAAGGGAACTAATGCTGGATTCTGTATTTGTCCATGAAACTGTAAATCAATAAACAGACATTAGTTTGTAAAGCCACACTAACTAATGTGTAGTCTGGGTTTGGTATCTTCTTCCCAAAACATAATTAACATAAAATGCAAACCTTGTACCTTAAATTAAAAACAAAGACACAAACTATGGAAACAGTACAGGGAAGAAATCAGTCCTACTTGTAGTTCTGTTGGTTGGTGGTGGTGAATATATTATAAGCTTGCATATAAGGAGTTCAACCATTTGTCTATACATATGGAGATCAAGGTTTTCCACATTTGGTATATCACTTGCACCAAAGAATTTTACTCTGGCAGAGGAACCTAGTTCAACATTACAAAATGCATCAGAAGATTTATCACAGAAATGAACACGCTTAGTTCATTCAAGAATTAACAAGTCCAAAACAGAAATGCTACCCCTCTATAATATGTTACTTGACATTCAAAGTTTGTTCTTGTTGAGACTCACAAAACAGAACAAGTTTCTGTAAACTTATTTGGGTGGAAACAAAATGTGAAGGGGGAATTTCCATGAGAAAATTGCAGAATGTTGATCTCTTAGCTCACATGGATAACTAACAATACACATGTAGAAACAACCAAACTGCATCACATAAACAATATGAACATTTATACATAGAAATAATTTACTTTTTGTATTCACTCATTACAAACTTCAAATTCAATATCCAACTCACTCATAGAGCACAAAGAATCAACTTTCGTTTTCTTCTTGAAGGATCAATTGATACAAAAATAGAACACAAGCACATCATTACCCTTTCATGTTCCAACTCTTAAAATTAAAAAACAAAAGCAATACATAAAAGAAACTCTCCCAAATCTAGAAGCCATGATCATTTTGTAATTTGACAAGGTTCATCTACTTCATTATTGTCCCATTATAGAATGATAGAAAAAGAAAACTAATAAGAGTAGAAACTGATCTAATTGAAAATTTTCACCCTTGGGCTTTGGGCCCCTTCATATTTGGAAAATAGGCCCAAATGTATAAGTTATTATGTATTATTTAACCAAGTGAGAAAGGTCAAATTAGAGTTGAGAGTGAGAGACTCGTTATTGAGAGAGAACAGTTGCAAACAAATATAGAGAAGAGAAGAGAAAATCATAGTGCAGTTTGCATATCCATTGGATGAAGCACATTAGATGGAACTGGAATCAAAATAAATTGAAATAACCATTTGGCAGATTAGAGAAGCCGACTGGCGACTCATTGGAACACATTTGCATATATAAGTGATTGAAAGTAGGTTACGTATAGTTAATATGAATCAAGAGAATTAATGACTAACTATTTTTTGTCACAAATCAAATGACCTAGTTATTCTTTAGTAACTAGAAAGCATCTCACCTGATTTAACACTTACAATAAGCCTCTAGCAATCATTTCTCGGAGAAGTTCCTCTGCCTTATCATTCTCGTCTTTTTCAAATAGAGCAGAAATAATTATTTCAAAAGTTATAGGATCAGGCATGCAATCATTGTCTTCCATTATTGACAGCAAGGCCAATGCTTCATCAAACAACTCCACTTTACAAAGTGCATTGATCATGGCACTATATGTAAAGACATTGAGATGATGGCCTTTAATCAAAAGATACTGAAAAACTTCTTGCGCTTTCTCAAGTCTTCCACCTTTGCACAGTCCATCAATAAGTATTGTGTATGTGTACTTATTTGGCTGAATTCTCCAACTAATCATTTTCTTGAATAATGCAATTGCTCTGTCTAGATGACCATTTTTGCATAAAGCATCCAATAAGGAACTGTAGGTAATTATATGGGCAGGTTGACCTCTATCATGCATCTCATCAACAAGATTCCAAACATCAGCTATCCTTCCCGATTTGCACAGACCATCAATAAGTGAATTATAAGTTACTGTATTAGGAATCATATTTTTGCGTTGCATGTCTTCAAAAAGATTGATGGCTTCATCTATCATTTTCTTCTTACATAATCCATCAATCATGATAGTATAGCTATAAACATCAGGTGCCACTCCTATTTGGGACATAGAGTTGAATACATGCTTTGCTTTTTTCACTTCATTAACCATGCAGTATCCGTCCATTAATGTATTATAAGTAATAACATTAGGTTCCACACCTGCTTTTACCATCGAAGCTATCACAATTTTAGCTTCTTTTATCTTTCCTTCCTTACATGACGCATCAACCAATATGTTAAAGGTATAAATATTTGGGTTGATGTTTTTTAATTTCATATCATTTAACAAAGCAATTGCTTCTTTGAAATGACCCATAATGCAAAAGCCATACATTAAACTACTGAAAGTGACAACAGTGACAACATCTGGAGAAATCTTTTTGACAAGCATTTCAGAATACAAATTACAGGCATCAGCAACAAGTTTATTTTTGCATAAGCAGTCAATGATTGTGCTATACATTACCACATCAGGCTTAATTGAATGCCCTTCAATCCTTTTGAGCAACTGTATGGCAGCCTTTGTTTCTCCTAATTTACAAAGACCATTGATCAAAGTCCCATAACTAACATGGTCCAACTGAAATCCTTGAGCTTTAACGCAATCATGAAAGTGCAGTGCTTTCCTAAGCTGACCACAAAGACATAAACCTTTGATAAGTGTTGTGAGGGTTATTGTATCTGGCTTATATCCCATTTTGAGAATCTTGGCGAACACAGAAAAGGCAAAATTGATGTGACCGAGGTGGCAGAAGCAGTTGATGAGGATGTTCAAAGTAACAATATTTGGTGTAATACCTTTGAATTCCAATTGTTTGGAAAGGGAAATAGCAGTTGGGTAATGGTTCATCTTGACAAGGGATCCCAAAATGTGGCCAAAAGGGAAGATGGGTGGGGAAGGATGCATATTGAGCATGCGATTGAATGAGGCAACGGCATCGTCGTGATTGAGAGATTGAGAGTGGAAGCTTGCATTTGCATAAAAAAGAAGAAACTTTGGAAACCTAAACCTTAATACTGACAAAGACATTGAAGTCCTATTTGGGAAGATGTGGGATTTGAAGGAAGCCAGGAAGGGTTTGCAGTGAACTCGTAC